CGCCCTGAAGCCCCGACTCTTCCCTCCAAAGCCCCCAATCTGTGCCCACACCCGCTCACTCCACCCGCCCTCCTCCTGCCCCGCCCACAGCCGGTGGCCCCGCCCACTCCGCCCACCCTCGTGTCCACGCGCGGGGAGGATGCTGCCCTCCGGGCTTTGCCGCCCACCCGTCTTTGACGGGTGAAGGCTATGTGGCTTGGGGATCTCACCATCAGGGGCCGTTTATGGCACCAGACGCAGGGAGGGAGGGACTGGAGCTTTGCAGGCTACCTGTTGTGGGTTCAAGTTTTGTCACTTTCCACCTGTGTGACGGCCAATACCCTCAGCATCCTCACTTCCTCCCCAAGTCAGATGCATTCTTCTCAGAGACCTTGAACACTGACTGCACTGTGGCTGAAGGCAGCGACCCCCTCCGGGTAAAGCCAGGGGCCACAGTGCCATCTAAATCAGGAGGTGAGTGGGGCTTTGTCGCAGCTGGGGAGGCGTGGCCATGCCGGCCTGGAACTGGGACGGTGGAGCAGAGCACGAGGAGTGTGCTGTGGGAGCCTGTGCATGGAGAACCGGCCGCTGCAGCTCTGGAAGGCACTGGCTGGGCAACTGAGGCAGTCAGGGCGCACACTCCCTCAATGACTGCCAGTGCTTTCCCAGTAAGGCCTGGACTCCTTCGCTGCCGCACGTTCGAGCAGGGAGCCAGTTTGGAGAGGGAAAGAAGGTGCTGCCCGGAGAGGGGACTGGGAGCCTCAAGGAGAGAGAGATGAGAGCTTTGTGTTTCTCCTTCCAGCCGCTCTTGAGACTGACTCCGTGGACCTCGCAGGTTTCCCTGAGACAACCTTTTTAAGATAGTCCTTTTTCTCCAAACAAGCGAGAGTGGGTTTCTGGGTTTTTGCCTAACATGAATTCCTCCCAACATACCTTTTCAGACTTAGATTCCATTACTCCTGCAAATCCTTTATGCAGTGAGATGGGGTTGCCTGCTTTCCCCCAGCCTCATCCTGCTTCTTCTTTTTTCTGTCTCCCTGCCTCCCCCTGCCCCCCATGTGTTCTGCAGTCTCTGAACTCAATCTCGAAATGCCCCCTGCCCCCTCCCTCCCCTGAGCGCCCACTGCAGCGTGTCTGCCTTCCTGAGGGCACCGCTCCCTGTGTTACTTATGTACTAGTTACCTCCTAGCTGAGCTCTGGGCGCCCATGCCTTCTCCATGTCAGTCTAAAGCAGCAACTGTTTGCTAAATGAATGCATGTGATTTTAATAAACTGAGCAATATTCATTGGAAAACACATTTAATTTCGAAGTAAACAAAGATGTTTGTACATTAAAGTATTTAATTAGTGAAACAATTATTATCAATGTAACAAGCTGAAAAATACAGCAACTTGATACAAGACTGAGGTAACAAAATACTTCACCAAAAATCTAAAGAATCCCACAAAGGGCTGATGTTCAGTGGTTATTGCGGGTGAGACAATTCACAAGAATTAGAGAAAGTCCTTACACAACTGCATGCAGGGTTCTGCTGGAAAAAAAGACAGCCCAGGAGAGTGCAACAGATTTAACAAGAAATGAATTAAAATGTAGAAACTGATTTTCGACTTACTTTGAAGAATACATAAGAAATTGAAAACTATTCTCTATGCAACATTTTGAAAGCTAAGTGGAAAACCATGCATTTTGGCACGAGATTTATTAAAGATTATACCATACTAATAAATTAATTACTGTTATTTCATTACTGAATGGTCACAGTCATTCAGAAATGGATAAAGAGATGAATGGTCATAAAACGAACAGATCATCTATTGTGTTGCTGCTGTAAGCAGGGGTTTTGAGGCTGCCCGTGGGGAACACAAGCCTGTGCAGCACAGGGCTGCAAGGTGGTCTAAAGTCCATGGTACAAGTTCTCAACACCCAAGAAAAGGCAGCTCCCACTCATACTGTGTTTGCACTGTGAACATTCTGACCCAACTGTCACTCCACCTTTGGAGTCCTCAGCGTACGCAGCCAACCAGCCTCTAGAACAGCGACTCCAGCTCGTCCTCGCTGCAACTGAACTTGCAGATCAAGAGGCTATTCAGTCTGTCAAGACTTCTGAAACATTTCTGGAGGAATCTGTGCACAGGGTTTGTTCTCAGGGCTAGGAGAGAGGCAGGATCTTGCCCAAGGTGTGCGCACTGGGGATTATTTGTTGGTTTTGTGATCAGCTCCATGAGGGCAGAGATGGACTCTGTCTTGTTCTCAGCCATTTATGTCCCAGGTTGAGCCTGGCACATTGGAAGCACTTGCTAGCAATGTCAACGAATAAATGAGTGAATGGGTGGCTTTATGCAGAGAATCTGTTGTTTCAAAAAGTCTCTTGTAGATTTTTCTTCTGTAAATATGAAACCACTCGACATGTCAATATGATGTGCAGCTGATTTAAGTTACTTATGGGGTCACAAAAAAGAAGGCTGTGTTTTTGGCAATGTTCTCCTGGTGGTTACAAGCATCAGCAATGTGGGTGAAGAGCTCTGGGCCCCGCCCAAAGAATAAAGCAGATGTTCCTTGCAAATGGCTTCCCATTTTCACGGACCGTTTCCATCTGTAAAAGGGCATCCTAAAAGATACATCTCTTGGGAGGTGGGGGTAAGATGATGAAAGAAATACTGGCCATCTTGGTAAGAAAAAAATGCTTTACAAATTCAGTTGAATTTATAAATAAATTCAGAAGAAAGGGGATTCTTTCCTAAACAGAATCCCTTAAAGTATCGACTTCCTCAGGTTTCACAGTCTGACAGGGTGCTGAATGGACTTCTAGTCAGGGCAGGGAAGGAGCCACACTCAGATCACTCTTTCTACTGCTCTCCACCAAATCAGTCCTCCATGAAGTATTTCAGTTGCCAGAATGCACTTGACTGACCTGGAGTTATAAATCATGTTCAACTGAGAGGGGCAAAAATTATTCCCAGGGAGAGGTGAATTGCTTTTGGAACATCATGTTACCAGCCACCTACTTCACATTTATAGACAGCTTTCTACAAATTTATTTGGGCTTCCATGATCTGCTTGCATTAAAAAAAAAAAAAACACACACGGTATATGCATGCAGGACATAATACCTTCACTGGCTTCACAAACATTTGTGCAATATGGACAGTCAAGGGAAAGAGAACAGATACGCTTTCCTCCAGGGTGAGAATCCACCACATGGACTTTTCAGTTCGTGCCCGGCTCCCTCTGTCCCAAGTGTGCAGGCCACCTCATCCGTGGCTTGAGGGACAAACCAATACTGAGAAGACAAAGAGCACTTAACTCACACGCTGGGCCCCAAGCCCCTGCTTAGAGAGCTGAGTATCTTCCAGCACCATCTCCAGGACTCTTCTGGTGTGTTCAGGGCTCTTAAAAGTTCTACTGGGCTTGTGCCAACAAAGTCTAAAGAGATTCTTCAAGAGTCCAAGCTAAGAATGCTCCTGGGAGGGGATGTGGGATCAGACTCAATTAGTGAGAAGACTAAACACTTTGAAAAGAAGTGTGATTGTGCTATTTCAAATTAGGCTCAGAAGAAAACATTCGTGAAAGATAAGCAAAATGTATAATGGGCAGAAAATTATCTGATTTAGTGGTGCCTGAAATTCTGGGGTTTTGGATTGGCATCTATAATATTTCATGTGTGAAAAATGAGGACATTGTGAAGAGTGAAGAAACCCAAGGAAAATAAGTAGCTGATGTTCCACTCTTTCACTTTCATCCGAACTTAAGATTTTTTAAAAGTTAGCAAGTAGAATTCGATTCAATGTAGGTTAAAGTGTTAACACTGCATGGTTCTGGTCAGAGGTGTCTGGCGTATTTGGCGTTGTCATTCAGCCTCTAGATGCTGATTTGAACAGTCATTGGTAGAATTAGGTGCACACATCCAGGATGGGTGTGCAAAGCACCTATTGTCAAGGTTTGATGGCATCAACTTTATCATCTGGAATTTCTCCTGGCATGAAAGTATTCTAGTCTTTGTTCAAAAGGAAGATGAGTTACTGAGCACAGCAAGGTTCAACCACAAAGTGAGACCCGATGACAACTACTTTCCTTACCAATTCATTCGAATTTTCAGAGAAGTTGCTACTGTTTGATCAAAGTACAGTGGTAGGTCTTTGGTCATTTTTAAATTGACCTATTACAGTTTAATGGCTTAGATGCTGTTTGGAAGCATATAGCCCAGAAACCCTTCAGGGTCGTGTGATGCCTGATTAGTGTGAGCTCTGAAATCATTAGCAACGAGGACCCAGTCTCTTTCAGAAAACTGTTTAAGGGTTTCCTTCTCAGAATTAGGATATCCAAATTAAAGAGGGGTTGGGGGAGAAGGTATTGTGATATAGAGTAATTCATTATTTTGAATAAAAATGTACTTGTGCAAAACAAAAGTCACTTTAAGATGCGACAAAAGGTGACAGATAAAGGACATTGTTCATGTGAAGAGCTCCTAACTGAATGCAGAGGTTGGACTCTTTGCTCCCCAGGGCTCTGCTCTCTTGTCACATGGTCATCAACAATTGTGCCCTCGGACTTGGATAATGGAGAACTTGCTGGTGACTGCATTTGGGGGCAAGACTGGGAGAGCTTAAGGCCTCAGTGTCGCTCAGCTCCCCATTGTGATCAGGAACCGCGGTGGATGCCCTGGCAGTGGAGGCAAAGGGGTGAGATGATGGGAGCAAAGCTTGTCCTGCAGGGAGAGGTTGGTGCCAAGTGGCTGCTGCACAGCTGACCACCGGGAGAACGGCAGCCTCCGATGCTGCTTCTGAGGGGAGCTGGGAGAAAATGTCACAACTGCCCATTCTGGCATGGTGGGAGGGGTGAGAAGAGAAGGGCCCCAGGCCCTGCCAGGAGACGGGATGGGAGGAAGCAAGCAGGCCAGGGCTTAGCCGGGTCCCATCTCAGAAGGGCTGACAGCAACAAGGCCCGGAAGGGGCCCGGGGGCCCAGGGAGCGGGCCTTCCAGATGAATAGCACCCGTAGGAACAGAAAACAAGACACAATTTAAGGCATTGTTTGTTTACAGTAAAAGAATGCTAGGGACCCTTAACACAGGAGGGATCTGGGCTCTCACTCTCACCTTCCTTGGTGGACAAGGCTATAACCTAAGGTTAAAGCAGGGCCTCAAAGCGAATGAAGTGTGTGATGTCGCAAGTCTTGTGCCAAAATGCATGTTTCTCAAAGAGTTCACACTCACTCGCACGCACACACAGAGGATGCTTCGGGGGTTGTACAAAATCTGAGGCAGCCCTGTGGGCGAGCAACCCCGTGCACTTGGGGTGTAAAAAGCCTGTTCCACAGCCTGTTCTTTCTCTCGGGCCCCTTCCGCGGGTTAACACTGTCCACTCTTTGTGCAGCAGAAAGCACTGAGGACCCAACATGGGCTGAATGCTTTCTAGTCGCAGAAGCAGCTGGTGGACAGATGGGGGCCCAGAGAGGGAGGGCGGGGTGTACAGTTTGGGGTCCGAACTCCGCCCCAAGAGGTGATGCTGCAGGATGAGTGCCATGAGAGTCGCTGGGGACTGACAGGTCGATCCCGCACTGGTGGAGCCCTCTGGGACTGTGAGGCCACAGGCCGTGTCCCCTGAGTCCAGCTGTGAGTCTCCCGGCACCCTGGCCCACAGCCTGTGCCCAGGACGGCTCTTCTCCACCAGGCCCAGCCTGGGCTCCCAGAAGCCTCTGAAGTCACGCCACGTCCTGCAGAGACTTACTCAAATGACATAAGGTTTGCAGGTACCTAGAAGAGAAAGCTCAGCCTCTTGTCAAAGTTCCGAACCCTTGGAGAGGGGCAAGGGGTAGTCTCTAAGGGAAGGGACAGGTCTTTCCCAATAAGTGTGTGAATGAGGTCAGGTAGGGAGAGGCCACCCCTGTTAAGCCACCCCTGTTAAGCCAGGCACTGCTCTGCATACTTCACAGGCTTTGTGTCCCTGAGTGCTCACTTCAACCCCATTGGGCAGGTACTAGAATCATCCCCAATATAAAGATGAGGAAACTGAGGCTTAGCAAGGTTAAATACACAATGAGTAAGTGGCAAGGCAAAGACTCCAGAGTCCATGCTCTTAATCACTATCCTCCGATCAAAATGAAACTCTGCTCGGGGTGGGGAGACAAGTGCTGCAGGAAGGGGGCCTCTGTCTCTGGAGGGGATACCAGCAGGAGAGGGGTGTGTCATTAGGGGATGACAGGAATTGGCATGTGGAAGCACAGGAGAAAGAGTAAGTTGGGGGATATCAGGAACCCCACAACCTTCCCACAGCTGTGCCCTAAGGACAAGGTCCTGGCCCAAGCCCCAGACCTCCTCCACTAGCACTGCCATGGGGTCTCAGGAGATTTGATTAGAAGTAACCTCATCAAAAATAAACCCATCTTGGTGTCAATTTGGTCAAAATGATGAATTAGGAAGAAATGTATCTCTGCGCACCATTATAGGAATGGGCACAGCAGCACCGTTCACTCTCGCAAAAAGCAGAAATCATTCCTGGGATGACCAACAGAACCGATAAAAACAAAATCGGTGCAAATAAATCAATGACTGCTACATGTGTTGGCACAGATGAATCCTAGGAATAGGTTGTAGGAGAAAAGCCAGACACAGAAGAAAATACATGATTATGGTTCTATTTATGAAAAAGTTTTTTTAAAAAAGCACCTCAGACAACACATGAAGGGATCAAACACATGTTCTAAAATTATAGAGGAATGGCAAACACCCAAATCAGGAGAGTGGCTTCGGGCGGGGAGGGCGGAGAGAGGCAGGGTCAGGAGGAGGCCCATAGGGCAGGAGGCTCTGAGGCCCTGGGAGGCTCTGCTGGCAGGCTGGGTGGTGGGTGTATCCTGTTGGTTCCAACGCTGTGGTTTATATCTTACGTATATGTTACAAACAAGGTTTGAGGGGATTCAGAGTTAGTAAAAACAATTTTAAGAAATGTAATTGCACTACATGGAAACCAGTCTTAGCCACTGAGGCTTCCCAGGGGAGCACCCTTTCTCGGCCCTCCTGGCATGCCACCGCACGGACGGGCCAGGGTTGACTTAAATAATCCTCTGCCGTTGGAGGTTTAGGTTGCTGCCAACTTTTTATTGTTACATATAGCAGAGTGGGAATATTTGGTTGAAAGTAAATTAGAAGTAAAAAGGAAAAAATGCAGAAAAAAAAATTCCATCCACTAGGTCTGAAAATTAGACAAAAATCTTCAAAAGTTGCAAAACCTTGCCAGGGTACACCACATTTGCCAATACATGAAACATCAGTCCTTCTGCCAGATTGGTTTGACTCAGTCCCCTGCTGCCTGCTGTGGAGCTGCTGCCACCCTCTGGCTGCTCCTCTACGGAGGGACAATGGCTTTTGTTCAGGGCTCCCGCTGTTGCTCCCTGATGGGGTCACCACAGTGCCAAGGCTGTGGCCCTGCCTCTTTCTCCACCCCGCATCCAGGTGGCCCCCTCGGGGCCATCAGCTTCTGTTGGACCTGGAGCTGCTCTGGCCTCCTGTGCACAGGTCAAGAGTCAAGAGGCCACCTGTGTGTGGCAGGTGAGCTTCAGTGTGCTGTGCTCTCGGAGAGTGGCACTCAGAGCTAAGGAGGAACCCCCGACACACACAGCATGGCCAGTGCAGAGGGGCCTGGGTGCTTTTCCTCTCTTGATGTGGCCGGAGGCAGCCGCAGCCTTGTTTAAGCCTCAACACCTCATTCCCTTTGGGTCACCCTGACGAAGTCTTCCCGTCACGGAGACGGGCAATTACATTTGTTGAATGTACAAAATATATGTAAGCATTCTAGAAACTACAGCATTATAGTTTCTTGTGTATCATTTTAGAGACTTTACATGCATATCGAAACAGGCATATGATAAATATGCATGTGCACTGTAACACTGCTGGGATATCCTTCCAGCGCTTGTCCCCCCTGCTCCTTTCAGGAGCTCTCACGTGGATCTGCCTCTGCGTCTTTGAGTGATGTGTGAGCACGTCCCTAGGACAAACTCCTAGCATTCAGGCACGTGAGTCAAGGGACTCCACTGCAATTCATTTTGGACCTCCCCATCGGACCTCAAGTTTATCTTTGTACTGGGCTTGTCCTATTGTTTTAGTTTGTCGAGCACTTTCTGTTAATTCTGGTTTCTAGCTTCTTAACACCTGTAATTTCGCTCAGCTTCTTGTGCGTGTCCTCATCTCCCTTACAGATGAAAATCCTGAACAGGACCCGGCTGAGCACAGAGCCCTAGAACATGCCACTAGAGACCTCCCTCTGGTTTACAAGAACCGCCCCGAGGGACCAAGAGGTCTGTGACTGTGCTGTGACTGGTACAATGAAGTCCCTGTCCTCCCGGACCCAAATGCCTGGTGTGGACTTGCCTTTGCTGAGGTCCCTCCAGACCTGCTTATCGTCTCCTCCAGTCTCTATCCACCCTTCCTCCTTGAAGCTGCCGCCAACTACTCCAGACAGGCCGGGGACAGGGATCCAGCCTCCCCTGTTCCTGCCTCTGGCTGGTCCCTGGGGAGCACTCACACAGATACTTAGGGATGGGAGCATCCCTGCTCCTGACCCGAGGGAGCAGGAGGCTTCAGCTGGCCCCCTTCCAGTGCCTTGCGTTCAACTGCAGGGACGCCCAGGGACGTGAAGGCAGCAGCGCTCAGGGCAGCAAGAACAGATTCTGGACCTTAGTTAGGGCCCAGCTCCACCTCTTACTAACCGTGGGACCCTCAAACAAGTGTCTGCCCCTTTCTGAGCCTCAGGAACCTCAGTATAAAATGGAGACAGTGAGGGAACCTACCCCACAGGAATGTGGGGAGAATTCAGCCAATTCCCACATGTGAAGCATTTCACACACTGCCTGGTGAGGGCCGGGTGGGGGAGCCCAGGAGCCAGGGGGGTCACACCCGTACAAATCCCACCGAGGAGCTGGAAGCCCCTTCAGCAGCCTTGCCTGGTTAGCTATCATCATTCCTGTGGGCTGTGGGGCAGGAGGCCCCTTAGTCAGTTTGGAGTATTCCCATGAAATCACCTCTTGGGGGGATGATCTAAGTGGATGCTGGAGCCTGATCCTGGGGTGATATCACACCTGCCACCTAACTGCCCCCAGTGGATGTTTCTGTGGCATTTCCTGCAGTGAGAAAGACACAGGAAGCAGACCAAAGCTCTAGTCTGGAGCTGGGTTAGTTCTAAGCTGAGCAAAGGAGTGCCTCGTCTCAAGGGGGAGTGCTGATCCAAAGAGGGTCCCTGGGCACACAGCTTATGGGCTCTGAGGGAAGAAGGGAGCCCTGGTTTCCTAAGGACCCTTAGTCCCAAGGGTGAGAGAGGATATTTCAGTGACAAGCAGGATTTGGGTGACTTTACCTGAGGCCTGTTGCTTTTACACGCATCGTCCAAATGCTTGTGCCACAGTATTGCATGGAATCGGGAACCAGTCTGAAACTTGTAAACATTGCCTGATGGGTAGAGAAACTGTTGGTTAAGAAGAGGGTCACGTGGGAAGGTCCCAGCCCATGACTGTGGCACGAGGAGAAACATGAACATGGGCAACTTCACTAAAGCGGGTCAGCCCCAGGGGAGAAGGCAGTTCCCACGCTCCCTCAGGCTGACCCTTTGGACTGGGGCACTTAACCATTTTTTGGGCCGTGGTGCCTTTGGCTGTCTGGTGAAGCCTGTGGACCCCTTCTTAGAATAATGTTTTTAAATGCATAAAATAAAATACGAAGGAAATCAATAATACTGAAATACAGTTATCAAACTACTAACAAACAAATGAGCGGTGTAATTCCATGGGTGATTCTATACAGAAGCACTAATAATAAGATCTAGTGGCAAGTCTGATACTGAGCTATAATTTTAAACAGATGAACATAAATGATACTTTGAGATATCTGCAATAATATGTGATATGGAAATAGCTGTGATTTTTCTTAGAGATAAAATTACAGGTGTTGCGAACATTTTTGTTGGTGGATGTCTATATTCATCACTGAGGGAGTTAGAAGTCGCTGAAAACAAAGACCCCCTGAATTCCACCCACGGAGCCTGGCCATCCTTTGTCTCACATTTCCTCTGGGCTAAGGCCCACGAGTGGCCTGTTGGCCTGTGGCCATAAGGGCTCTCAGTCCAGCTTGTGCAGATGTGGCCTTTACTTCCTACAGAAACCACTGCTAATCCAGTCCAGACCGTCAAACGGTAACCAACTGAGGACACGCTGCCCCGTGTGTGCCACTCAGCCACACAGCAGAGAACTCGGCAATCTACCTTCTCCTCATTCCCGGGGCTGCTTGAGGCTCCTGTATCCCTTTGTTTCTTTGCTTCTCAGCTGAGAACATTAGAACCTGACGCTCAAGGTGTGGTCTCTCAACCAGCACCATCACCTGCATCACCTGGCAGTGTGTTAGAGATGCAGAATCTTGGTCTCTGCCCAGATCTACTGAATCCAAATCTGAATTCTAACAGGATCCCCAGATGATCTGTATGGACCCGAGCCCTGCAGGAGAACATTCCTGTTAAGGTGTGAAAATGCTCTGGGACTTTACAGCTCCTGTCAGTTTCCCTGGAATCCAAGACTCGGGCAGTCTGGGGTTTTTGTCGTGTGACATGGGTTACTTAGACTAGCCATGGCCTCTTCCAAATATCAGTGAAGACAGGGCTCCCGGACAGGGTGGCACCCAGCATCTTCTTCCCAGCACAATCACGGGGGACGGGAGGGAACTAGGAGCAACTGGGAGACAGCTGGGGAAGGTAACGTTGGAGCTTTTGAAAGCTGAAAGGGTTCTTCTCTGAGTTGGCCTTGGACCTGGACACTGCCAGAGTCTCATGGCGCAGGCATGTCAGAGATCCCTGAAATCTCCCAGGATCCAAGACCCTTCCAGCCACACGGCCCTGCCTCATCCAGCACTGTTATTTATGCCAAGACCCTGAGCTACAGCTCCAAGAGTGGTAGGCCCCAGCGGCCATGGGTAAGGCCACAAAAAGGATCCCTGAGGCCAGGCACGGTGGCTCACGCCTGTAATCCTAGCACTCTGGGAGGCCGAGGCGGGCGGATTGTTTGAGCTCAGGAGTTCGAGACCAGCCTGAACAAGAGCGAGACCCCGTCTCTACTAAAAATAGAAAGAAATTATCTGGACAACTAAAAATATATAGAAAAAATTAGCTGGGCATGGTGGTGCATGCCTGTAGTCCCAGCTACTCGGGAGGCTGAGGCAGGAGGATCGCTTGAGCCCAGGAGTTTGAGGTTGCTGTGAGCTAGGATGACGCCACGGCACTCTAGCCCAGGCAACACAGTGAGACTCTGTCTCAAAAAAAAAAAAAGCCACGTGCTTCGCACACTGCTCCATGTACACGCCAGCCACGATCTAACCAACTTTCGTGGACGAGGAAGGGGACCCCATGAATATCAGAACCTAAAGCAATGGGAAAACAGCTGCTTCAAAAGCTCCTAATAACTTCAAAGGGCATATTTAGTGGGAGAGGAAACAGGGCAGAGAGCAGATACAGGCACCTGGCTCCGGCCTGCTGCCTACCTTTGTCAGGGTTATTCAGCTGGAAGATATCTGGGTGCTCGGGGTCGTCAGGCAGCTGCACCATCCAGCCCACGATGGAGACCTTTTTGCCAGGTGTGGATTTATACTGGAGAAGAGCAACAACACAACCGGAGGCCTGGGCCCAGCCCTCCACTCCACAAGGGGGGCCAACCTGGGCCGGGCAAGGCTCCTTCCCACCCACCGCCTTTCCCACCCCCATCCTCCACAGGTCACAGAGGTCCCCCCAGCTAGATGAAGTCCCAGCATAAGAATCCTTTCATGGGACTTACGTGTTTTCTATCTGTGCCCCGCAAGGACTTGGCTCCGTAGTACAGGAGGGTGGATCCTGAGAGTATGACCCAGTACCTGGTCCATGAGGACAGCTGGAGGAAAGGGAGGTAGAGCGATGCCACCAGAGCTGGTGGGGCAGAGGCCCCTGGCTGCCTGGTTCCACACCCAGCCACCCTCATCAGTGCCAGCGCAGGCCTCACCTCCTCCCTGGCCCTCCACCAACCCCTGTCAATGCCAACTCCACCTAGGACCAAGGAGGGGAGACTTCTTCCCTCCCCTCTCTTGCCAGGGCACAATTCCTGCATGTTCAGTTTGCCGCACACTCACTGTGTGCAGGCACTCTGCCGCATATGTGACTTTCTTGCTGAGTCTTCCAGGAGTAGGCACTATTGTGTCCTAATTTACAGATGTGGAAACTGAGGCCCTTGCCCACTCAGTGGCACGGCCAGGGCTGGAACTCAGACTGGCCAGTCTCTGGACCCCGGCCCTTCACTGCTGGGTGGACGTGGACCTGCACTTACCGCCGGCTTCCGGCCTTCCTTGAGCAGGGTTTTCCTTCTCAGAGGCCCTTCCATGGTGGGCACTGCTGCTGCGCTCCCCAGAGTACAGATGCACGGGCCGGTGGGGCTGAGGGGACACCACCAGTCACTCAACGCCCTGGAGGGGCTGAGGTCAGGTCCCCTCTCACTCACTGGGGTCCACAGGTGCCCCACTGCTGAGTCTGTGACATTCCCACAGGCCAGAGGGCTCCACAGCGCTGAGGCAAGGCCCAGGAGGGGAGGGCTGAGCCACAGAAGAGCATAAAGGGCCATCACAGCTGAGACCTTTCACCCCTTTGTCTTTCTGGGGGCTGCAAAGCTCTAGGCTTGGTGACCAAGTTGCCCATAACCTAGGCCCTTCTCAGCACCCTCACCCTACCCTAAGGGCCCCCTCTGCAGCCCTCCCTCCCGGCCACTCTCCAGGGCTGGCGCGGGGGGCTTCCTCTACCCTTGAGGCTCTGGCGGCCCCTCCCTCTTGTGTTGGCAGAGCCTGGAGGAGCAGCCCAGGGAGGGGTGGAGGCAGGGAGCAGCCTGCACGCCACGCTCTTTGCACCCTCCTCTCCTGGCTCTTCTCTCACCCTCTCCCTTGGGGATTCAGGCACCGTCTATAGGCGAAGATATCCAAGTGCACAGCCATGCCAGACCTCCCTCCTGAGCTCACCTCACCCATCCCCGCCTTCCTCCCGTCCAGGTGAACAGCACCAGCACCAACCAGCCGCTTCAGCCAGAAAACGGATGCCCCAGCAACCTAATCGATCCCAAGGATGCACTGATCCCAGGTCTAAATACCTCCGGCCATCCGTCTCAGCCGCCCCACTGCTCTACCCCTCGTGACTTTCCCTTGCACCGCTCCTCCAGCCTCCCTGGGTCCATGCCACCGGTGTCATACCACCACCCTGCACTCCCCCTGTCCACCCGCAGCAAACCCCTCCCACATCTCCTCACTGGTTTTGAGGTCTGGGTCACCATCCTTACCCCTCATTTCCTATGGCACTGCCTGGCCTTCACTCCCGACTCACCCTGCTCTTCCTGCCTCACGGCCCAGAGCTGTCCGTTTGGCTGGGAGCATTCTCGTGACCCTACTCATCCCCTCCAGCCCCTTCAGGGAGGCCTCCCCTGACCTCAGGACCAAGCCAGGTCCCACGCTCCCTCTGTGGGACAGTCAGTGCGCCCGGCAGCAGCCTCGTGGAGGCGGAGGCTGTGTCTGTCTCACTCCACAGCCTCCAGCACAAAGAGTGCTTGGCATCCAACACGCACCCTAAAGCTATGTGTTGAATAAATGAACAAATGAATAAATGAATACCTGTAGACGCAGCTCCGGGTTCTGGGAGAATTCTGAACTGGAACCCGCCAGTTGGGCCCCAGCGTGGCATACAGACGTCCCCTGCTTCAGAGGAAAAGGGTTGAATTTTAGCAACAGCCTGGAAAGACCAGACGCTCCCGAAGGAGGCAAGAGCATCTCAGGCTGCGCGGCTGTTAGCGCGGAACGCCTTGCAGATACCCCCCGACTCTTCCCCTGGCCTCCTTGGCTGACCTGGAGCTGCCACGTCAGTGAGCACAGCGCCCCTTAGCGCCTCCATCCAGGAAAGTCCCCGAGTCTCCAGGTAATCGTTTCATTAACTTTTATTGAATGTTCACCGTTTTCCCAGTGTCAGTGGATGGCTAAAATCCAGGCACACCCACTTACCCCAGCGTGAGGCCGAGCTGTTTAATAGAAAACCCTGTCCGGCCTATGGAGTCCATGGTTAAAAGTGCACGCAGACAGAACTGTGGGCAGTCTTGCACGTCGGGCCTGGGGGGCATTCAGCAGGAGGCACTGAGTTCCTGTTTGATACGTCCTCTCCGCCAGCCAGTCCCTGCAAACTTGCTCCGTGACCTGCTGCAGCACCCGAGGAGCTGTGCTCCAGGCCCTCTCCGTGGGCCGCCCACCTGGCTTTCCTCTCACCTGTGCTCCCCGGCAGTGAGCCTCCAGGGCAATGTGCAGCTCAGCCCCTTTGGGGGAAGGCACCATCTTTCTCCCTCCTTCACCCTTGCCTGCCTTAGAAGACTCACTTCCTGTATCCACTTGATGAGCCAGCCTCCTCCCCATCCCTGCAGCATGGGTTGTCCCTCAACTATAGCTTTCCCTGCCAACGGGCCAGACAGGATCCGACCCACTTTACAAAGTCAGACAAGGTCCAGGCTTACTTTCCAAATATTCCCTCTGCTCTCCACGACTAGTCCTAGGTCCCTGCACATTGCCCTGGACACCAGCACCTGTGGGTGGTGTGTGGCATCCCATCATTGAGCCCGGGGCCCTCCATCCTCCACCCAAGGAGCTGTTCTTGATGGTCATCTTGGATACGCTGTCCAGGGGCCGGAGTGCAGGGCTGGCGGGAGGCATCTAGGACAGGTGCTCTGGGCCCCGCACCGCCTGCCTGTCAGCACCTCCTCTTTGGGGTGATGGCCACAGCATGCGCTTGGCCCCCAAGTCTTCTAACATACTGGGTCTCACGATGGTCACAGGCTGACCCCCCTGACCCAAGCTGTGGCACAGACGAGAGGCCCTGGTGATGTTCAACTCTCAGCCCACTGGCGAGTTGCCGCCTCCCCTCTTCCATTCAGGAGGGTTGGAATACAGAGAGTGAACGTGACACCATACAGATTACCACGAATCTGTCTCAGTCACAGACCGCAGCGCTGCGCTGTTCCTGGTGCCACTCGTCGAGCACCTCACGACCGAGTGCATGGGCAGGATGGCACAGCTCCGTGCTGAAGCACGGCTGCTCGGGGGCAGCCTCTTCCTCCCCGCCGTAACCAGGCATTTCTCCCGAGCAGGGCCTGACAGTGAACTTTTCTGCGCTGACATCCTTCGTGGCTTTGTCGGCTGCCCAGGGGGCGTCTCCTCGTCCCGCTCTGAGCTCTGCCTGTTTGGAGTCGGCAACGGAGCCTCCCCTGCCCAGAGCCGGATCCTTGGCTCCTTCTGCTCCACCTTTCTTCTTGTGAGTCTTCTCCCTGTCACCCCACAGTGGACTGTCCACAATCACCAGCAGTTCTTTAGACAGGGCGGGGTGGCCAGCGCTGCTGCTTCTTTCCATCATTCTTGCCCTGTCCGTGAGACAGTCCATGGCTGCTCATTTAACAGATATTTGGCAGAACTAACATTTGTTGAGGGAGAGCTTGAACCAGCATCTTCCAGCCAGTCTAGCCTTGCGAGCAGACTGTCCCCGAGCCCCTCCTAAGGGAGTGAGGAGATCCGCAATGCACCGGACGGCCGGGGGTGCAGGGACCGGAGGTGCAGGGTGCTGAGCAGCAGACGCGGAGTCGCTGGGGGGCGAGGGCTCACGCGCCAGGCCACGGTGCTCACTCTCTCCGAGAAGCTTGGGTAAGCACCCTTCTCCTCCCCACAATGAGGAAACTGAGGCTCAGTGAGATGAAGCTATTTCACCAAGGCATGAGTCTTGGAAGCCAGGACTTGAACTCAGGCCCATCCGACTCTACAGCCCAGCTCCTCACCGCCGTGAGGTGCAGCCCGTCGAGGCAGGTGTCGATGTGGAGGGGTCTACCACAGGGGACCCCTACTGGGTCCACTGTAGGGGTCTCCCTGGCATTCGACTCTCAGAGGCACCTCTGCCTGGGGGTCTCTGCCTGGAGCTCTCTGCCTGGGCTTTGTCAGTGCCTCTGAGACTGAAAGACCACGGAATTCTTAGGCCCGAGGATCTGGGCCGGGGCTTCCCCCGTGGAGTGTTCTCCTGGTGGCTTGGCTGCCCGGCACTTAACAGCTGCCTCTCATCGACTGCTCTCCACGTGCCAGCTAAGTGCTTCCACGCAGGAACCCGCCCAGCTCCGTGAGGGGCACTGCTCTCATACCCTGTTTTAGATGAGGAAACTGAGGCTCAAGGAGGCAAAGCCACTTGTCCCATCCTGCTGTCCTGTCACTGAGATAGAGATGCAAGTGCTCAAAAAGGGAGGTTCACTTTCCTGCGTGGGGTGAGGGCCTGTGCCAGTCTAGCTGCTCCAGGCTGTGCAAGACAGAGCCTTCTCTCCCTGGAGCTGGGGAGCAACATAAGGGTGACTTTTCCCTGGGACCAACTTGTAGGAGACTAGAGTCAGGGTGGTGGGGACCAGTCTCCCCTCCCACATGAGCCCCTCGGGGCTGGCAGAGGGTTGTGCTGGGCAGGGCAACTCTGGCTGCCTGGCAGGCTGGCATCAGTAGAGGAACCAGGGTCTCAGCCACTGGAACCAGACGATCTGAAAGCGTCTGGGAGTGTCCCTGATTTGAGATGATTTGTTATGCAAATGTTCAGGGTCAGAAAACACAAATGAATGAGTGAGGGACACCTGATGAACCCCAGAAACCAAGGGATTTCTCAGACTTGGGATCTCCCACTCCAAAACCACAGACACCTTTCCCAGCATCATTCTGAGAACATGTGGCTGAACAAAATGTGTCCCAGGAAGGCCATCTGACTGTCCCCTCTCAGGGTTCTTGGATGGATAGGGAGGAGGAGGCTAAAGCAGGCAACTGAGGCCCGCCCCGACCAGGAGCTCATGGGAACTTTGGTCTGGGGAACATGTAGACTGGCAGCCAGGAAGAACACCTCAGTCCCACAGCGGTACAAGATGGTGATGAGGAGGACGAGGACAGAATGACAGGTGGTGGTGACAGGATGAAGGTGATGATGGGATGATGATGAAGGTGATGAAGGTAGTGATGATGATGATGATGGTGGTGATGATGATGGGATGATGGCGATGAAGGTAGTGATGATGATGGGATGATGACGATGGTGGTGGCAGCGATGAGACGATGGTGTCAGGCAATGTGCTAAGCAGAATTCGCTCAGTGTCTCATTTAATCATACAACACTGTGAAGTGGGCGCTATTACTATCCCTGCTTTATAGACAAAGAATCTGAGGCTTAGAGAGGTGGAGTCACTTGCCCAAGGTCACCACACTGGGAAGAGGAGGAGTGGGCAGTGCTGCTGAGCTAGAAGCAGAAGGGTACTGCTTGGGCCAACAGAGTCATGAGCATTCAGATGAGCCATGTGGGTCTGAAAGGCCGCCTCCCCCTCCATCACTTCCTAGGTCCATAATAGGTTGTAGGCATCTTGGGGGTTAGATTTCACAAAGCCCTGAGTCCCTGTTGCTGGTCTAGAGGTTGGGGAGCAGAGAGAAGTCTTGGATAATAATCAGTTGAGGCCTCAGTAATCTTGGTCTTAGCAGAAGTAGGGTTCCCCTGCCCTTGTTCTTCTGTCTCAAGTACACAGAGCCCTGGTAGGAGCGTACCCGTGCGAGGGTCCAGGTGACACTGTTCATCAACAGTGTTTACCTCCCCCAGCAAACCCTTGATAGGAAGCTAGTACCACTAGGCCATGCTTTGTCCTGGCCACTTCCTGATGATTCATCCTCCTCTGTAGGCAGGAGGCTGCTGCCCTGAATTCTTCCGGACACTGGGATATCCCTTCTAGCAGTACTTTTGAAAGACCTTTGCTGTGAGTCACCTACCCTTCCCTGGGTGATATCCCTGGTTCACCCATTTGTACTGCATGTCCCCATCCTGACAGCTGAGTAGACAGGACAGCACCAGTGACCCAAGCCAGGTTAACCAGATTTTCTCCCCTGGCAATTAAGAACCAGATTTGACAGGCCGAAAGTCAGGCTCAGTGGCTGGATGAAACTGTCACATGTGAACTTGGGAGCTGTGAGGTATCCATCTTCCCCCCTGTGCACAGAGAAGTCCAGAAATCTGGCCGGCAGAGAAAGGAGAGTAAAGCGATATGCAGAGAGAAGGATGGACACAAGACATAAGGAGGGTCCTACCCGCTTTCCAGGTGCTGGCTCTCATGGAGTCATGGGTATTGGACAGAGAAGACATCTCTCAGCTACCATGCAGCAGCGGTAGCTAGCCAGCAGGGCCCGTGGGCAAAGGCTCAGGGCCCAAGGACAGGTCAAGCAAAGGCCCTGGACATTTGCCCACTCTTCTCTCTCAGAGGAATCTGCTGGGTAGGGCCTCACTCACCAGATGTTAGTGCCTGGAACTAAGGGAGTAAGGCAAGAGATCACAGCTCTGGGGGAAACCAAAATCAGAAGCTTGGCACATTGCCTAACTGGGCTTCCGCCAGCAGAGAGCCGAATACAGGTACGAGGCAGCAGGATGGACCGTGGCACCAGACCCAGGGAGGGCAAGTGAAGGGTGTGAGCCTGGGATCCGGGGCCTCAGCCCCACGTTGGGTAGGGTGGTGAGGGCCTCTGTGAAAGGCACCTGGGAGTGGCCGTGCCCATGGCTGTGCCACAGCCCAGAGGAGCCCTCCCCGCAGGATCACCTCTGGAGCGTGGCCCACCTCTCCCGAAATCCTGCAGAAGCGGAGCTAGAGAGGCATCCTTGTGCCCTGGCTACCTGGGGC